TGAACATTTTCGTAGACAATGAAAGTATTATGCATTCATTTATTTTCATAAGCGATCGTTTTTTAAAAAATATTTTTCAAATCATTCATTTTTCGCAAAACAGACGAAGCCTAAATAGAGAAGAAAAGTGTCATTTATCTCTATCTAGAAAAACCTCATCCTTCTACACCAAGAGGATAGAGAAGATGGATGGAACCAATATGATGCAATGCAAATTGAGAAGAGCTCTCCATGAATGAAGTTTCTTTCTACTGCTAAATAATTCATTAACGAACTGGGTTCCGTTGTAGCTGGCATGTAGCCTTCATGCTAGATGAACAAGCTCTCCTAGTTGCATTACTTAAATAAACTAGCTAAGCTAATAAAAAAAGGAACTAAACATTTTCCGGAATACTTAAAAATTGAAGAAGTACACAATTCAAGAAGGCTAATAACTTTTAGATAGACATCAAAGCATATCGAACAAGGTTTAACAAGTGCTTTAGGGGCACTCAAGGTATTTTTTAGTGCTTTACAATGGACATATATAAATAACAGTGTCGTCAGTCACAAAAATTCAGAACAAAACTTGAATTTGCCATTTTTAAGCCCCATGTTAGGCACCTCTTTGGCAATGGAACATCTACTTCACTTTGGCATGATAACTGACATCCAAGATTAGAATTGTACGTGACTCAGCATCAACTATTCATGGTAAAGTCTCCGAGGTTATTAGCGGTACTTCTTGGTTGGCTTCCAGCTATAGATTGGAAGATTTGGTGGAGAATCAAGCTGAAATCTGTGGAGCTATCCAACCATGCTGTAATCTGCCCCATAAAGTTATCTTTTCTAGCTCTTCAATTGGTGTTTTGTATCATGACGATGCTTTGAACCTGGTTCGTAATAGTAAAACTAAAGTTTTCTTGTCCAAATTAAGACCTGATCATGGGGCCGGCCATCAAAATACAGGGTTGGACAAGGAAAAGTATCAGAAAAGTCCTAAACCTTTTGCATTCGTACCAATTCAGTTTTAAACCTTTTTTTTTGTGTCAATTCAGTCATAAACCTTTTATTTTTGTTCCAATTTAGTCCTTTCGGCGGTGTCACGTAGGCCGACCGACGCTAATGTTGACAATTTTTAATGATATTTTAATATTTTTTCAATTTTTTAAATATTTTTTCTGATTTTTTCTTTTTTTCCTTCTTTTCTTTTTTTCTTTTCCTTCTTCTTCTACCTTTGGTCGGTGATCGGACACCGGCCACCGGCCATGGCCGGCCGCCTGGTCTCGCCCTGCCATCGCCCACAATAGGCGAGGCCCGACCGACCATCGCCCAGTCCATGGCGGCTTCGCCAAGCGTTGCCCGAGGGAAGGCGTCACCCAGCAAGGTCGTCGTGGCCTGGGCGGGGGCCGGCCCCGCCAAGGCTCGCCCTTGCCCAAGCGAGGGTTGGCCTCACCACCCTCGCCGAGGCTCGCCCGCCCTCACCCAGGCGAGGGTCAGCTAGGCCTCGCCTATGATGGGCAACGGTGGCCTCATCTGGGCATCGACAGCCTGCCAAAGATAGAAGAAGAAGGAAAATAAAAAAAGAAAAAAATAAGAAAAAAACTTTAAAAACCGAAAAACTATCAAAATATTATTAAAAATTGTCCATGTCAACGACGGCGGTACCGCATAGGCCAACCGGCGTCCACGTCAGCAATATCCGGCCAAAATTAGCCGAAATGACTGAATTTGCATAAAGACAAAAGATTTAGGATTGAATTGGCATCAAAAAAAGGTTTATGACTGAATTGTCACTAATGCAAAAGGTTTAGGACTTTTCTGACACTTTTCCCGGTTTGGACAGGAAAATAGGCCCACCTAAGCAGGGCTAGCCAAAATTTTTAGGTCCAATCAATTTTAAGGCTGGGCCTAGGGAGCAGATTTCAAGCCCGGGCCCAGCCCGACGCTAGCTCGCCTACAGTATATATAATTGATATGAATTTTGAATTATATAACAATGGTGCGTTCGTTTCGCGAAAAATGAATGATTTGGAAAATATTTTTCGAAAAATGATCTGTTACATTATTTAGAAAAATAAAATGAATGGAAAAAATTTTCATCGCCACGAAAATAGTTAGACAAAGATTCTTATCAATGATGAAAATATTTTCCGTTGACTATTTTTTCTAAACGATATAAATAATTATTTTTCAGAAAATATTTTTCAAATCACTCATTTTTCACGAAACGAATACACCGTAAGATAGAAAATGACAATCACAGTTCCGGCGATGAGGATAATGATGATGTTGGTGATGGTGCCATTGATGGTGGCGTATATTATTATCTAAAGTTTCAAGTATATTAAATCATGTCTACTTCAACTATTCTCATTTCATTTATTGGGTGTTTGATGGCATGCGATTCTAGAGATGAAGAACAAGATCTACGAGAAATTCAAGATGGCGTTGAGTTGCTTGTGTGTTATTCAAAGTGTTGTGATTTTTACATTTTCAAGGACTTAAGTTTTTCTTTTCTATTTGTGAGTTGGACTATTTTCCTATGCATTGTGGGGTGTTGACTGTTGATGTTGGTTTCTGACTTTTTGTTATTGCGAACTCTGAAGTTGGTAGATGATGTGAACCTGGGAAGTTGGTTTATGTTGACATCCATTCGACTTGTCCAAAATGAAGTGTAGCTCTAATTAATTTGTGAATATTATCGATTTATAATTGTTCTAAATCAGGTTGATTACAAATATAATAGCCCAATTAGCTGGGCCGGGGCCTTTCTTGCCGTCCAGTGGGGGGGGCCTGGACAGTGGCTTTCGGCTGCTGTTTTCTCTATGGAGATTTGGGAATTATTGCTGCAAATTGACTGGAATTCAAAGAGGGATTGGAGATTGTTGCGATAGTGAATGTCGCTGGATGGATCTTGAGAGTTTCAAAAGGAAAAGCATTTTCTTTAACTTCTGCTCAAGCTACTTTGGAATAATGCTGTATATTTCCTATGAATGGGTTGTAAAATTATGCAGTTACTAACTCTATTGTGTGAAAGCAATTATGAGTTGATTAAGCAATACGGAAGTTTTTGAATTATAATCGTCTTTCATCAAACAAAAGAGTTCCTTTTGTCATGATTCAATCCTACGAGGACGAGCAGTATTTGGCATGAATAAAGAGAGGCTTCTGGTAGGCTTCTAGAATGGCAAAGGGCTAGGAATAAACTAAAGTGCGCACCAAACGAATATATATGTGTAAAACTAGAATTTACTCACAAGATGCACCTTTTTGTCGTAACGATAACGTTGAGTGCATTGAGTGTTAGAACTCCAATATCAAGCGTGCTCAGATGAGAACACTTGCGGGACGAGCGACCTCCTAGGAAAGTAGCTCGGCCGTACGCCAAAGGACAAAACCACGAAGTTTGATATGAGACGAGTCAAGATGAACAATACATTGAATGAGTTAATTCAGGGATACCGTGCATTTTAACTAAAAGCAAAGAAGAATCGAGCAAATAAAAATAATTATGGGCAGGGCTCGACTCCCTTGCTTCGGCACCGTAGTTTGAGGGAAAAAAAAACACACTCGAGAAAAAAAGTGATGAATTAATTGCGTAATTTCCGACAATTTAGTCCATCACCGGTAGAGGTGTCAAAATGGGTCTTAAACCCATATATGACCCATTTAAAAATAAATGGGTCATATATGAGTCACTTTAATTTTAAAGAGTCAACCTTAAATGGGTTTTAAATTTTAAAGCTTAAAGATAAATGGGTCTAAATGAGTTGAGTTTGGAACCCATGTCCAACCTACCTACTAGATCCATCCACGCACTTTCTCCCTCTTTACAAAAATGTTTAAAAAAAATCGAAATTTAATTTTTTTTTCTCTTTTTCTTTTGTTTTTTGTTTTTTCATTTCTTTTCTTTCTTTTTCTTTTTCTTTTTTTTTTATTTCGGCCGGTGGTCGACCACGGCGACCGGGGCAGGACGACCTCGCCGGCCTCGAGCCTCACCGATCTGGCGAGCCTCGAGCTCGCTCGATTCTGGCAACCTCGAGGCTCGCCTGATCCCGTCGAGGCTCCAGCCTCGCCGACCTGTGGCGAGGCTCCAGCCTCGCCGATCTGGCGAGACTCGAGCTCGCCGGCCTCGGGCGAGCTCGTCCTCGCCTGTGGTCGGCGAGGCCTCGGCCTCGCCAGATCGGCGAGAACGAGCTTCGCCGACCTCCGGCGAGCTTGTCCTCGCTTGTGGTCAGTCGCCGGCCACTGCGGCCGGCGATCAGCCAAAAATAAAGGAAAAAAATAAAATTAAAAATTAATTAAAAATTCGATTTAAAAAATAAAAAAAAATATTAATTTTTTTTTATTTTCTTGGATAATGACTTTATTGAAAATATTTTCTAGAAATGTCGCATTTTTCGTAAAACAAACGGAACCTCAATTTTAAAAAAAATTATAAAATTTTTTCACTAGCTTTGTATTGCATAAAATGTTTTAGCAGTATAATTTTAAAAAAAAAATCATAAGAAACAAGTATTCCTAGATTAGATTAAATATAAAAGTGTTTTAGCAATATGGATCGGGTCGGGTATGGGTTGGGTATGGGTCGGGATATTTACACTATGAATAAATGGATCATAAACGGGTTAATGGGTCAATTTGGGTCGGACCATTTATGATCCGACCCACCCGTTTAACAAGTCTAATCACCAGATATAATTTATTTCTCCTATTGAAAAAATAAAATCCCATTTTTTTTTTCTTTATCAAACGAGTCTCGTGAAAGATGAAGGAGAAAGGGAGAAAAAGAGGAGGAATGAAATGGAATGGAATGGCGAGAGACGACAGGGGGGGTAACATCTGGTTGGCGTGCGATATCGAAAGACCAGATGATGATGATAAGGAGCACGTTTTGATGTTCGAGAGCTTTGACTTTCCGGGTCGTCGTGGAATTTTGGAGGCTGTGGAGTGGAATTGGGGAGAGAGAGACCAGGCGATCAGACCCTTCCTCCTCCTTCCCGTTCTCCCTCACGGGCCGAAGAATATCCGGGTCTCTGTCCCCCACCCCAACCGCACCACCGTCCCGCGGTCGTCCCTCTCCAACGCCACCTCCTCTCCCTCTCTCTCTCCCTCTCCCTCTCTCTCTTCCCCTTTTTTTCTTCCTCTCTTTTGCTAAATAAAGCAAATCCGAAGGTACCCATTTGCCCCTTTGTCTCTCTCTCGATCTCTCCCTGTCTCTCTCTGGATCGAGTCTCCTTCAAGACCCAACCGCGCTCGCTCCCGCAAGCGTCTCTGGGCGCGGGGGGGCGGCGGCGGCTGCGGCGGCGGCCGGCGGTCAACTGTGCCGGGCGGTCCTTGAACCGGGGAATCTTTTCTCCCTGCTCGATCGCGGTGCTTGGTGGGTCTGTTTCGGGTTTGGACAGAGAGCTGGTGTTCCTGGTGAGTTGATCTGCTCGACGCCTCTCATTCGGGATCTTGTGTTCTTCTCGAAGTTTTTTCCTGGGCCGATCGTGTATTTTTTTCTCTTCTTTTGCTGTTGCCGAGGATTATTGAATGTGGGTGTGTCGGGTGGTTTGTTGATTTGGTGATTCATGGGGAGGGTTGAAATGGGTTTGGTCTGTTTTACGGTTTGGTTATTGAATTTGGGACCTTTGGATGTCTTGATTCGTCGAAATATCTGGAAAAGAAAATTCAATAACTGGAACCTTGTGGTTTCATTCAAGTTTGATCTTTCATACTTGTGAAGGGAGACGTGGGATGTTTGAACTTTGCGCCCTTCCTGCGCATCTGATACAGGCTTCTGATGAACATGGTGAATGGGGTCTGAGATAGAATTCCGTAGATGGGTTTGATGAATTTATGAAGATTGAGTGTATTGTTGATTGTGTTGATTTTACTGATCTTGTGAAGGGGGTGGAGCAGGCGATAGTGAATTAAAAAAAATTTACAAGTAATAATAAGTAAATCTAGACTAAGGCTGACCTCAGCGACCATGGGAAATCTTTTAGACCGTGGGAACAATGAATTCATACAGGAACATGTTCCAGGAAAGGAAATTTACAGGGGGAAATAAGATAATAAGCTTAGCTCACAGATGTGTACTGGTGATGAATAAATAATGAGCCATGTAAGATTATAGCAGGTAGGATAAGCCCACTCATATTATTTTTATGTATCTTTTAATTGCACTTCTTAACCTAGCTCTGTCGACTAATAGGTTCTAGTCAAAGGTCTCTTTATCTGCTCTTTCTTGGAAGATGTGGAAGAGACATGTATTTAAATTACCATTGCATGAAATATAGGCAGAATCTAAAATGATTTAGATTTATAAATAAAAAAGGATGAAAAACTTGTTTTAGCTATTTCTTTTTAATGCTTAAAATAATCAGAAATTAAATCAGCCCATTTTTCCCTTAAGGTTCACTTTTCTTTACGAAATTGTGTTTTTCTCACTTCCCCGCATCAATATCATAGTCCTGGAACGAAGGATTGGCTTTCTGTATATTTCCCCATGGGGGCTTAAGACCCCCTTCCTTCTTTTATTAGTCAATGATTGAAGAAATAGAAGAAATCAAAAGGATTTTCACCTCACGTCTTAAATGAAATGAGCGGACTTGAATCAGCAGTATAGTATTCTATGAGATCCGACACTGCATATGTAGGTTGTAGAAAAGAAAAAGAATTGGTTGGATTTATGCTATGAAATGACAATTTTTATTTATAATAAATATGGAAAAAAATGTAGAACCTTGACCTTAGGCAAAAGAGCTTAGAGTCTAGTAAGAAATTCTTTTTGTGATAACCCCGCCAAAAAGAATGATTTCCCAAAGGGTCAAATTAAATACGACTCGTGCTACCCGAAAGGAGCTAGAAGTAAGCCTTTCTCTAAGCTAAGTTCGCCAGCCGCCAACCAAGCCAATGTGCCATTCCTATCCCTTCCCAGTGAAGAAATCTTGAATCAAAACACTATGTATGGATGGTATGAGAATCAGACAGGGAAACATAGTGATAGACAAAGAAGGAAGAGTATTTCTCTTATAGGTTTATCATGACAGTTGGTAAAACGAGAGAAAGTGTAGAGAGTATAGTTAGAAAGAGTAAATTATCAGTACTCCCCTTGCAATTTGGGGATTTAATATTGGACCAATGACCCCTTGTTTTTTCTTTTTCTCATAAATGCCCTTTATTCTAGTATCCACATTGCACCATTTGCTCCTTTGTTTCTTTTACCTCATTTTTTAGGGGTTTACAAAGGTTTTCCATGCAAATTGGTTACTTTATGAAGGTTTCATGAGAGCAGGGGTTTTACGTGATTTTTTTTTAGTGCAAGGTATAATATTAGAATTTCACATGGGATGTCCTGTTACTGAACCCTAATAGGAGGGCTCTTTTCAAGAGCATGAGAAGTACATGGATTTCCAGTGGACGAAAAAAAGGAGTAGAAGAATTCACTTTGCAGTCAGTGTCTGAACATTTTAACCATGAATAATATGGAAGGGAATTGATGGAGAAATTTAGAAAAGACAGAAGAAAAGAGGGACCAACTAGAAAGAAATAAAAGAGACACAGTTACTTCAGATCCTCTTAGATTAAGAACCTAAACTTTTTTTTTTCTGAACCATATGTTACTTTCGGTCAATTTCAAGTCAGTCTATTCGTGATTGAGGATAGGACTTAAAAGTAAGATATGAAATGCTCTACCAATTGGGGCAGTGATTTAGACTGCTAAAAGGGAAACCCCTTTTAATGTTGTAAGAAGAACAGGTGATCTAGATGAGAATAGCCACGCAATAATATATCATTGCACAATTTATATGAATAAGTCGAATGATCTGGAGGAAGAATGAGATGATACATACTAGTATGGATTACTTATGTGAGCACTCAAGGCAAGTGGCTATGCATTTAGATATAAAGTTGATCCCTAGTAAAACTTTGTGGGGTGTTTCAAAACATTGAGGAGAGGAATTTTCTAAAACCACACAAGACTGATGGTTCAATAGTCTGAACCTGATTGAATGGAGATTTAAACCTCAAAATTATAGCAGAAAATTGGATGGAGCTGAAGTGGCTTGGTTGAATGGCCCTGTCTAGCTGGTGCATGCTGGTCAATAACCAAATCAACTCATTTCTTCCAACGAAGTAAATAAATGTAAAGTTCTACTGGTAAAATCCTGAAGGTCTATCTCTTGTGAGGAAATTTTTTGCTCAAGCCATCAACTAATTCACTACTAAGGTGCTTAAAATGATCGACTGATGATTTTAACATAAAGAAATATTAGATTAAAGAAAAAGTGCTCCCCAGGAGATTTGGACCATAGTTGTGTTGCCCCGATGGCATATGACAAGCCATGGAGCTACGTCTTTAGATCCAGTTTTCAACAACGGTTCGAAAGGTGGTTCAACCAGTTGAAGTGGTTGAATCCTGAAATGATCACTTCACCTCACGAGTTCTAATTTGAAAACACTGTTGGTGCAATCTTTTATGTGTTGAGATTGCTGGTGAGTATTAACATGGTCCTATCATGTTTGAGAAGCATGGCCTTCATGGATGGTTAAAAAGGTAGCTTAAGAACCTTATACATGATTAGATAGTTATTAAGGGTGGACTCTTAGCATTGAAATGTCCTAATGATGGTTAAAAAGGTAGCATTGAGTCCATGCCCCATACCTCAGTTATACTTCCCCATTCCCCCACCCTATTGCAGGATGTGGCTTAAGCTCCCATCTTTTTCTTTTTCTTTTTTTGGAAATGGAAAGCTAAAAACACTTACTGAAGCATTTGATTGAGAATCTTGATGCAAAATTTGTACATATGAGGCAAATTTTTATATCAAAATGAATAAGAAATTTTTAGTTATTCCATGTGTGACTCAGACAAAAATGAATCAGACATCTATGAATCTGTCTTGTCATCTGAGCTCTAATAGAGTGAAAGGTTGATACTCCTCGCTTTGCCACTCTTACTTCCTGCCAATGTGGCATGCTTCATACAGTTTTATGTAGCTTTGGACCACATCATCCAGCCATGCTTATAACTAGTCAAGGTGTTGTAAATTATGAGAAATATGGTCCAATTCAGCAATTTGTGGGACCGTTACTATTTGTAATCTGGACTGTTGGATCACATGGACAAGAAATGATAGTGACTTATGAACATTTAAGGAAAATTACTGACTATAAGATTATCAATGTCACTATTAATTAAGTAAAATTACTACATTTGAGGACAATTACATACTAATAGGGCTTCAAAGTTTACGAACTATGAAGTAATATTACGATCATGGAGGTAAGTTACTAAGAATAGACCAAATAGATTTACGATGAATTTAGGTTGATTACGATATTTTATGGAAAGTTACGGGCGCGCGGATATTCTACCTTATGAGACTTTAAGGTATATTACTACATGTGAATGATGGTTACTAACTTGTCAATTACAAAAAATTATTAGAAATTACAATTATTGAGGGACAATTACTAGGCATAGCTACCATCACTTACTACAATTTGAGACATTTTACTATGTTATGGGTTAATTGCTAACTATTCGCATTTTCATGTTACGAACTCCATAGGAAATCAAACATGAAGGTAAATTACTAGTTACAATTATGAACGAGTTACTACCATGCCAATTAAGTTGCAACCCATAAAGTTAGATTACTATCTATAAGTGCAATCAACCTTACATCAGTTTTAGGTCCTTTTTTTTTTTGGCTTAAGGAACTGATTGGCCATTGCCATTACTATGTTCTGTATAATCAAGTGCTTCCAATATCATTGCCAGTGTCTGGCTCTCTTATTGTGTGTGATTGTACTGTACAATGGACACGTAAATCTTTCTTCTTTAGTGTAAAAGAAGGTTTGTGTGTGTGTGTTTTGGATAAATTTGGTATCTGAAGCTTTGGTGTTTTATTGTATTATTGGACGATGTCATAGAGGGTGGGAGGGATTCAATCTGTCACTCGGAAGTTTTAATTGTCAAGAATTTAGCATATTTAGAGGGATTGTGGTGGGAATAGGTGTAACATATCCTTTTTTGAATCTTATCTTTTGATGGCTTGGCTTTTGGTATCTCGTTCATTTTTTTAATTGTTTTTGTTATGCCTTAATCATTCGTCATCACTTTGAAGTTATTATTTTCGACAACTTATTAAATTTAGGGGGGATTGTGGCTTTAGTAATCCGATAATAGGTTAAATACTTCCTTTTGAATCTCATCTTTTTTGGCTTGGCTTATGATACTTATGACATCTTGTTCATTCTTAATTTGCTTGTTGACAGGTTTGATGGGATTGAAGAAATTTAGTCCTTGGTCTTTAATTCCTGTAGAGTTGCGCGAGTATAAACCTCTTGGTTATAAGAATTGCTTAAAGCTGAAAAAGGTGAAGAAGATCAAGGACATGATCACATATGAAGTGTTCTAGTATTTTTATGATATAAATTGTTAGAAAATGGATGAGGAGGCTAATTCCTGGATAAGGAGAACAAAATTCTCACAGACAGTTTGTTATAGGCTAGATTCTTCAAGATTGGTCTCGATTCCCTTTACAATTGAAGCAAATCGGAATCCTGGACTTAAGTCATGGCCAGCTATAGCGGTCTCAAGCCAGAAGCCCAGTTCTAGTAGTTCACAGATTCGAAGAAATCCAGTTACAAATAAACAGAGATCTTTATCCCCACATCCAAAGACGGTCCTATCTGATGTGTTTAAGGAAGCACGCTCTGACAAAAAGAGATTTTCAACTCCCTTGCCACAGAGGAGAGAAGCTGAGAAGGGTATTAGGAGAAAACCCTTGCATAGGGAATCCCATGAATCCAAGGCTCGGAATTCCGATTCATCATCAAATAGTAGCCCATTGAGGCATTTTGCTTCAATGAAACGCAATGACAAAGTTAAAAGCAGGAAGGATTCTGCCTGGACTAAATACTTTGATCATTCTGGGGGAAGGGTTATGGCTGTTGATGGAACAGATGAATGGGTTGTGGATATGTCTAAACTATTACTTGGTCTCAGATTTGCCCATGGCGCACATAGTCGGCTTTATCATGGGATATACAAGGATGAACCTGTTGCTGTAAAGATTATTAGGGTTCCAGATGATGACGAAAATGAAGTCTTGGCTACAAGATTGGAAAAACAATTCACTAGGGAAGTAACTCTTTTATCCCGTCTTCACCATCAGAATGTTATAAAGGTAAGTAGAAAACCGTTAAGCTTGCAACAATTTTAGCATATTTATTCTCATTGTTTTCCTATGCAGAGACATTAAGCTCGATTGATGGTCGAGTTCTATTAATGTCATTACATTGCTGTAGGCTGGATTTGCATGAATCTTATGGATTGTTGCATTCACATGTTTATAACTTTTCTGTTCTTATTTCCCATTCGGATCAGTTTGTTGCCGCATGCAAGAAGCCACCAGTTTATTGCATCATTACGGAATATCTATCAGAAGGTTCTTTGAGGGCTCACTTGCATAAGCTTGAAGACAAATCAATACCCATGCAAAAGCTTATTACAACAGCTCTTGAGGTTGCTCGTGGAATGGAGTATGTTCATTCACAAGGGGTCATTCATCGCGACCTCAAACCAGAGAATATCCTAATCGATCAGGACTTCCACCTGAAAATTGCTGATTTTGGCATTGCTTGTGATGAGGCTTACTGTGATACTTTAGCTGATGACCCAGGAACTTACCGGTGGATGGCCCCTGAAATGATCAAACGCAAATCTTATGGGCGAAAGGTTGATGTTTATAGTTTTGGTCTTATATTATGGGAAATGGTGGCTGGCGTAATCCCATATGAAGACATGACTCCCATACAAGCTGCTTTTGCGGTGGTTAATAAGGTTTATGCTTGCTTTCTCCTATCGTGTGCATGCCGGGTCCATTCTGAGTATGATCCTTATGAGCTGCTTTTGCGGTGGTTAATATTTATCTATCATCTCTGGGCACTAGTTAAGGTTATAAAAAATAGCAAAAACATTTGTATAGATGCTTTGAAATTGAAACGGTACATTTTAAAAGAAAGTTATCTACATCAAATAGAATTGTTTACACTTTAGCACATGTTATAAGGCTTGAGTGTCCTGCGGGCGAAGTTTTTACTATAGGATCTAATAGATAATTATAACAATGGATAGATATAAAAATGGATAGGTAAAGAGACAAGTGGTTCCTCACATCACAACAACATTCACGCCCTATTTACTATTTCGTGGAAAACCAGTGGCGCAGACTGGTTGTAAGATTAAACCCTTAGTAAAAGTCTGGTGTTGGTTACAGATCAGCTCAGCATCCTAGCTACAGAGGACTGTCTAGAAAATTCTTAACAATCAAAAACTATCTGAATTTCTAGCTACAGGGTCTATTACCAGGTTCCTGACATTGAGTCATTATACACATTGTAGAGAAACTGTCAACTAGGTTGGTCTGTTAAACATGTTTTTTTAGTGGCCACGTGCGTTGTATGGGTGTCAAGACTAGTATACAAAGAGAAAAGAATCATGTACTCCTGTGAATGCACTCTTGGGTTGCGCCAAGTAACTAATGCACTCTTCTGATGCGCCAGTATATAGTCAACTTCATATTCTGAATTTTCATGTAACACCTGCATATATTGGAATGTCAGCGAGTATATAAAAGCTTTTAGTTGAGCAGATGAGATAATTTACTCTAGAAAAAATACAAAAAGGTCGAAATAGTTAGTCATAGGAGTCGTAACTATGTTCGTGTAAAATACATTTGTAAGATGAAGTTTTTTGCGTGCCTATTGTCTGCGGCATTGTTAATGAGCTTGGGAAGCATGATAATCATTTTGTCAAGGGTCTATTTAGAAGTCATTCCAAACGTTTCATGCAAATCTTGTTAATTGTTATGTATTGCCCAATCATTTTGTTGTGTGTTTGCTTCAAATGATATCATCATTGTTATTGATATCACTAACGAGGTTTGATATATGATTCAGAATCTGAGACCAGTAATCCCCAAGGATTGCCCACTGGCTCTGCATGATCTCATTGAGCAGTGCTGGTCCTTGCAACCAGAGAAGAGGCCCGAGTTCTGGCAGATTGTCAGAGTATTGGAACAGTTTGAGGTTTCGCTTGCTCGTGATGGAACACTAAATCTGGTGGAGAACATGACTTTCCAAGACAAGAAAGGGTTGCGTCATTGGATCCAAAAGCTTGGTCCGCTGCACCATAATAGTTCATCCGCCTCTAAACCAAAGTTCACATGACTCTTCTGAGCTTGCCTAGGACTCGATTCACGTGAATTCGACTCCTAAGGCTTCAAGAATTATACTGAACTCCATCCAGAATGAAGTCTGCTTGAACCCCTTTGATGGCAGTGCAGATTCACTTGTAGATCGATGGGTAGACTCGTGCGCATGTATCAAAGTGTAAAGGCCCTTCCTGTAGATGTTATAGGTATGTATGATTGGATCATTGGTGTTGGAAAAATGCTGACATATAAATTTATCTTGGCGATTTTTAAAGCAGTAGATGTTTGTCGGATATCTTCTTTGCTAACTCGACTATAGTTCGAAATGCTTCTCGGGTGTCTTAGCTGAAGGACTGAACCGTGCCTATCGTTGCTCGAGAGGTTATACCGCTTACGGCTTTCCCTTTCGTGTAGAGTGTTGCGGACTTGTGATGAAAGCGACTCTAAAAAGCATTTTTCCCTGCATCAGTATGGTGTGAGTGTGAGGTAACAAGGGCGACTGAATTTTATGAACTTTTGGTAGTCTAGATTTGAGTCTTGATAGAATAACAAAATATCATATCTAGTGTGTAGCGATTGGATATACCCTGATGAAATGCTGGATTGGAAATCCGAGCTAGGGGTGGGATGAACCTGGATCAGACAAAAAAGATAAAAATAACAATTTCCTTTCAACGATGAAGTGATGGAGTTCGGCTTCGCTGGCCACCACGTAAGGATAGCCGCCACAACAGTCTATCACTGTCGACCACCGTGCAATTGCCATCGTCTCTGACCAACAGCCATCGTCATCGCCGCCCGACCAATTGTCCATCAATGACTATTGAACCGACCGATTGTCCTTCAATGACTATTGAACCGAATAAGCTGTTGCTAATGAATAACCCGAAATTGATGGATCGACCCGAAAAGTCGTCTCTGAAAAAGAAGAAGGAGAAAAAACTCAAAACGCACAAAATTTTGAGCATTCGTATGTTGGTCTTGAATGGTGGTGACTTGATTTTGCTGTGATGCTTTGGCGTCCGATCCTATCCTCTACTGGTGATCATTCAAAATGGTGCTAGTCTCAGCTGTGCGAGATTACGTCAAGAGGATGCTGCCCTAGATTTGAAACCTCTATGAGCAAGTGAGATTTTCATAGATTTTGTATCATATTTTGGATTGCACCAAACATGGGAAAGGATTTTTTACAATGCTGAAGACATTTGAAGGATTTTTAATCTCACCTTATCCAATCATATTCCAATCCAAATCCGAGCAACTAAATGCAAAAAGTTGCATGAATCAGATAAAGTGAGAAGCTAAGAGTGGGATTATTGATTTTAATAGACAATTTTGCCATGCAAGAGGCCTCGTTATATTTTTGGAAGTCTCCGAGGGTTCGTTTTTCTAGCTAAAAACTCACATTTTGAAAAACTTTTTTCCTAAAAACAATAATTTGTATTGCTTGCAAAAATGAACGAATGAAAACTATTTCCATTGTCCACAAAAATATTTAGGCATAAATTATTATCGATGATGAAAAAACATTTTTTGTTGGCTAATTATTCCAAGTTATATGACAACTTATTTTTAGGAAAATATTTTCCAAATCATTTATTTTGCAGGAAACAAATAGACGCTTAGTATTCTTCAAAATCGGCTTCATGAATTTTTAGGTCATATTATTACTTATTGGCTTTTCAGGGGCTAATTCCAAAAAAAAAGCACAAACTTTAGATCAAATGACAATTCTGGCCCCAACTTTTTTTTGTCTTGTAAAAAGCATCAACTTTAGGTCAAGTGACAATTCTGACCCCAACTTTTTTTTGTCTCAAAAAATCACCAACTTTTATCCTTATCCCAAATTTGGCCCCCCCCATTGACTTTCTGTTTAAGGTCACCCTTATTTGAGAAAAAAGGTCATGGTCGTGAGCTTGGGGTATCTCGTCCATGGCGTCTGTCGATGGGCGATGGTCTACAACCTCGAAGTCTGACCAGAAAGATTCAATCTGGAGATCTTTTTTATTAGCCAGTGAAGTGAAGAAAATGAACGGTTTCACCATTGTTCTTCAAACTGTGGCTCAGAGAAGAAGACAATGAATAATGCTTTAAATCCAGTCAGCAAACCACGTGGATTTATTACTGAGGTGGAATAGTCAAGTTGGATAATTAATTGTTCTAAGTCAAGGAGGGCCAGATTTGGAATTTAAGCGAAAGTTAGTAATTTTTTATGAGACAAAAAAAAGTTGGGGCCAGAATTGTCACTCTACCTAAAGTTAATACTTTTTTTTTTTGAATTAGGCCTCTCATATCACAATCTTCTTTCTTTTCCGGTACAACGTCACTATCTTTATTTTGTCACCTCTTATTGTCGTTTTTTTGTATTAGTGAATTTGCTACATTGTCGTTTTCGGTCTCGTCTCACGGAGGCACCACTTCAAGCTAAACTTCAATATATATATTGGTAAGGTAACCAAACTTCAATATTTTGCCTCCTAATATGCATTTTTTTCATGGAAATTTAGTTTTGTTCTCATATAATTAATATTTGACCCCACTCAAGCGATTATTACACTGACGTTGACCTTAAGGTGTCTCACGATTATAACTAATTAACAAAATTAAGCTACAACAAAAGAAAATTTCTAAATACAACAAAGACGGGAAGGATAATCGAACTGTCTTCTTATAAAGTGGGATTGGATTTACTTAATTCTCTCAAATAATAAAAATATACTTTAATCGACACATAGATAAATATTTAAGGACTCGGGAATAGTTATACAATCACTTTGCTATGAATGGGCGTTGGTGAGGAAATTTTAGTCCTATTGCAATTCTTTCGAGGGACATGAACTTATCGATACTCGTAAGAGTTGGTCATTATATTTCTAGGGTGTGGGAATGTGCCGTGTGTGTGTCCGAATACATGCAATAAGTACACATAAAAGCCCAAATTGATATTACTTTGACAAATCCCGAAGCTGGCACATTGTCCTATCTGTACCTACCGTCGTAATTCATAAAAAAATTATCTTTTGATTACCTTTTTGCCCAACAAAAATATGCCACAATCAGAAAAGAAATTTCGGACTTTGTTTTATGTGTGATATAATTTGAAGAAGATTTGGTTAACAAGCAATTCTGGATTAGAGTATATTGAAAACCTACAAAGATGTTTGCTAGAAAGATGTCTGCTAGAAAGATGTCAAAAATTCATCGTGTAAACAACTGATTGCTAAATTCTAACCCTAAAAGGGATAATGATACAAACAATCTCTGAACTTTGGTCCAATATGCAATTTGGTCCCTAAAATTTTAATTTGTTCAATTAGCCCCTAAACTTTGGCCTAATGTTCAATTTAGTCCCTGAACTTCAATTAATGGAAGGACTATATTGAACATTTTCAAATAGTTCATGGACTAAATTGAACATATACTAAAAATCTAGGGACCACATTGAATAGATTAAAAGCTCAGTGACCAAATTAAACATTAGGCTAAAATTCAGGGACTACATTAAACAAATTAAAAGTTCATGGACCAAATTGCACATTGGGTCAAAGTTTAGGGACTGTTTGTGTCATTTTTTCACCCAAAAATAAATATTTGCTGGATGGCAAACAATTTTATCAACGGTTAATTTTGACATAGAATATATTACAAGAGAATCAAGTTATTACCAGATTTCTTAACTAGAGAATTTTTTAAAATTGAGATAGTTAGAGGCAATTGTAGAAATTTTTGTTCTTGTAGGGAACAAATTGATAAAAAAAAAAAAAGAACTTGAAGGATGAAATTGGATTTTTTTTACGGAATATTCTTGAATTTAACGGAGTTAGTGGCCATTGGGCAGACTTCTCTCAAGGGCACCAGTTTAGGAGTTTTTAAGGTGTGTTGAAAAGTTTAGGGTAAATATGTCTAAGGGGACATAATTTAGGATTTTCCATCGATTTATGCCTACTTATGAAAGAATCAAATTGGGATGAATTGGATGGCCATTTGAGGAGTAGACGTGGTGGAATGTTATGAGTGTGTGAAATGGCGGTCACTTGGAGTGGGCTTGTAGTGAGTAATTTCAATCTTGATATAATTTTGTGTAATTATAGTTTTAAAGAATGCTTCTTAGGGACTAGATTGAAAAGATCGAAGAAAGTTAGGGCAATTATAGAACTTTTCTTTCACGTGGGGAACTAATTGAAAAAAGAACATGAAGGACAAAACTAGAAGTATTGACAGAATATTCCCGAGTTTAACGGAGTTAGTGGCTATAGGGTAGATTTGTCTCAAAGATATCGATTTTTTTTTTCAGTCGGACAAAGATACCAATTTTAGACTTTCCATGGATTTTTACCTCCAAAGAGAGAGAGAGAGAGAGAGTCAATTTGAGAGGAACGGGATGGCCACTTGTGGAGCAAAAGTGGTGCAGAGTTATAAGATGTGTGAATTGGTGGTCACTTTGGAGGGGGCGTAGTGTAGCGAGGAATCTAAAATCTTGATATTACTTCATGCAAGGATACGTTTTAAAGGCTCGAGAAACGAGATTAACATGGCTTTTCTAACTAACTGATGAAAAATGCATGAATTAAATACTTGAGAATGTCTTAAAGGCTTGCGCTATTTTCACGTCATGCTGTGTCTTCTTCCACAGGGGTTGTGATCTGACAGCCTTGTCCTTGCTATGGATCCCACTTAAAATTTTTCCTTTCCGCTCTTGCTGTTGACTTAAGATGTGAATAATAATCATTTTATTTTTTTTATTTTTCGAAAATAAGTTTGGAACATAATTTCGTTTGACAATGCAATTTCATTTTTTCATTTTCGAGACATATTTTTAATCCAAAAATGGATTTATAACAGACATGGCAAGTAGATTTTTTTTTATTTTTCTATTTCTGAAACATAAACAAAAATAACAACTCTCTTATTGCTCGCCCTCGTTGCCGCCCACTGCTACCTCCATAGCGCTAGCGGCCGTCCGCCGCCAAGTGGGGCTTGTTTCTTAAAACTTCACTTAGACTTGACATTGTTTCAACTTGATCACTTTGATCCAATACTCTTCTAAGCTTATTGCTGGTGAACATAATTGCTGGCCGACGCACACGCTCTTGTTACGTGCATGTTTCGCGCCTTTTTCCAAGGGTACCTTTTTTTGAACCACCATTTAACGGGGCTACTAGAACTTTTGAAATTGACTTAGCTAGTTGCATTGTTATAAAGTAGAAATGAGCAAAATTACCTTCCACTTATGTGTTTGGTAACTCCATGCGGATTAAAAGTTATGCCTCTTAAAAACGGAGATTGGGATTAT